TTCTTTCTGGACGCCTCTCGCCTCCTGACCACTGGGCTGGCAGACACGGAGCTGGGTTCCTGGAAATGACCATCTGGGGGAGGTGGGGGTGCACCTGGGGCCAGGTCGGATTGTGCTGGCTGCTCCCCAAGACTCTACCTGAGTCCCCCGCCGCAGCCAACCCCAATCCTTCCCACGCCGGAGATCACTGCAGGGACCCACCCTCCAGCAAGTGTCAGGCCGCTGGGAAAAATCCCCTCGGCCCTCACTGGCTGTCTCTTGGCTGGAGGCCCCGGGATGGAGCCACCCCCGTCCCCGCTCCGGGCCCAGGTCGGGAACTGCCCCGGCCCCCTCCTCCCACCCCCGCGCCAGTCTGGCTGCGTCTGGGCCGCTTCCCGGGGCGGCTTAGCCGGCAGCTCCCGCTGAGAGATTTATCCCCGGTGGGGCAGGGCCCTGGGGTGGCTGCCTGCCTGCACCCGCCACAGCTCTGGCCTCTCGGAGTTGGCTGCCAAATTCCCTCCTCCACAGGCCCATGGTTTCTCTTTTAGTTTCAAATTTCTGTCAGCAGTAAAAGACATTGTCCCAGCAGCACAAAGGAGTTCTACATGGTACCCTTGACTTTGGGTTCAGCAGAACTCCTGGGACATTCATCACAGGTAGGGAGAAGGGTGAAGGGAGATCGAAGGTTCCTGTGTGCACCCTCTAGCAGCATGAATTCTTTTTATTGTTAAGATTAACCAGCCATTTGTTAGGCAAGTTAACACTTTATCTCAGACACACCCCCTCTCTCGACCACAGGTGGGTCTCACTGCAAAAGCAATCATTGTATCTCAACGTTTGTTTGGGGCAAGAAGGCCTAGTGTTTAGCCTAAGTCAACAGTGGGGCCAGGAAACCTTGAGGCTTGCAGTCATCCCTTCTGCCTCCAAAGGGAAGGATGACCACATAAATAAAGAAGGTCTCTTGGCAGGGCGTGGTAGCTCACGCCTGTAATCTCGGCAATCTGGGAGGCCAAGGTAGGTGGATCATGAGGTCAGGAGTTCGAGACCAGCCTGGACAACATGGTGAAACCCCATCTCTACTAAAAATTCAAAAATTAGCTGGGTGTGGTGACATGCGCTTGTAATCCCAACTACTCAGGAAGCTGAGGTAGGAGAATCACTCGAACCTGGGAGGCAGAGGCTGCAGTGAGCCAAGATTTCGCCACTGCACTCCAGCCTGGGCGACTGAGCAAGACTCTGCCTCAAAAAAAAAAAAGAAAAAAAGATGTTTTCTGTGTGTCGTGTCTTGCTGGTCCTCCAGGTGTGTCGACCTGCCAGGAAGCTACCCAAATGTGGTCACTTTAGCGTCTATTCCTCCAGCTTAAACCAACATGCCACCCTCTGGGTTAATATCCTGTGCCCTGCGAAGTGCATTTTTTTACTTGCTTAGAAATGAATGACAGTCCTCATGAAAGTCTTAAGTGTCTATGTCTATGAATGCCACTGATGAAAGCCCCAGCAATCTCTCGAAGTGTGCTTGCTTGGAAACCACCTGGGAATCCATGTTTGCTCCTCTAGATGTTCATTTTGAGGCCTGAGTGTTTCTGCCAACCTCAACCAGGCCACAGAATGACTGGGGCAGTGATGTGGCTCTCATCCTTGGGACAGGGGAGGAAGGATACACACTGGAGGCCACGGTGGCTGCTCAGTGACTTTCAGGGGTCGCCTGCTTTACCGCCCACGGAGAGCTCTTTTAGGAGATGAATATTCCCACCCGGTGTGCTCTCCCTTCAAGAAATCTTCAATTTCCAGATAGAAACAGCTTCGGGAAGGGGAGAGGGAGGGGAAGCAGCCTGTGGAAGACAAGCGTTCCTCCACATCTACATGGACTCTGGGCTGGGAAGACGGATGGATCTGAATCTCCCACACATCATGAGTGAGCCATCCCCCGCACATCATGAGGTCTGGGCAGCGACCAAGATCCAACTTTTCTGGAAGGAAATGTTGTTTGTTTAAGCAGTGTCTTGTAATTCATCTCTTGATTTACGCCAGCCATTTCAGACCATTCCTCCTCCAACCCACTGATTAGATCCAGGCGCTGGGCTTGCTCAGAGACATGCCCTTGGTCTGAACTCCCCCTGCAGGAAATCCCGGATGAGGCAACTGGGTTTAGTCTAGTTGGCCGCTGGTCGGCCTGCGTGGGTCTCACTGTGCTTAATTTATGTGGCTTCACCCTTTCATGCAACTCAAGAAAGCAGCATTTACCAGCTCTCTCCCTTTGCTTGTGGTCTCAGTTTTTTTCTTTCTTCTTTTTCTTTTTTTTCTTCTTTCTTTCCTTCTTTTTTCTTTTTCTTTTCCTTCTTTCTCTCTCTTCTCTCTTTCCTTCCCTCCCTCCCTTCTTTTCTCTCTCTTCTTTCTCTTTCCTTCCTTCCCTTCCTCCCTCCCTCCCTTCCCTCCCTCTCTCTTTCTTTCTTCTTTTCTTTCTGATGGAATTTCCCTTTTGTTGCTCAAGCTGGAGTGCAATGGCGCAATCTCGACTCACTGCAACCTCTGCCTCCCGGGTTCAAGCAATTCTCCTGTCTCAGCCTCCCAAGTAGCTGGGATTACAGGCGTGCGTCACCACATCTGGCTAATTTTTTGTATTTTTAGTAGAGACAGGGCTTCACTACATTAGTCAGACTGGTCTCGAACTCCTCACATCAGGTGATCCGCCCACCTCAGCCTCCCAAAGTGCCAGGATTACAGGCGTGAGCCACCACACCTGGCCAGTCTCAGCAATTTTCAACAAAGACAGTGGGCAGGAAGATGCCTGCTACAGCAGCAAAGGTGAATGCATTCATGAGCTGTGTGTAGCACGACAGAGAGGAGTGTGACCTCCTGCCCCTAAAGTGCTCAGGGCTGGGGCCCACAGAGGGCTCTAGGCTGCAGAAGATTAGCTGTGTCCCCCACCGGAGCCCAGAGCTCCGTCAGTCCCTTCGATGTCCAATGCAAGACTGAAGATGTTGGCTGAAGTGTTCTGCATATTCCAAAGATTTAATCTGAGGTCAAGTTTTTCCCAGCAGCAGTGTCTTTATAATCCTAGAATCTGAGTGAAGAGTATGCGGCGAGTCACTAAACTCTCCTCTACTTTTGCGTATGTTTGAAATTTTCATAATTAAACAGTTTAGAAAGTCATCTTGGGCCCACTGGCCTATGTGTCCCATTCTGGGAAAACCAGAGTGGTCGAACAGGAACACTTGGGGCAATGGGATGCTTTGGCAGGTCCTAAGAACGGGGAGGTTGAGGCAACTGGTTCAGTGTATTGCTCTGAACTCGTGGAATATACACAGCAGAGCCAACCTAGGTACTGCCCGGATAAAGCTTCGGACGTAAGCAGTTTTGCCTGCTGTGACAAAAGTATCCTTTTTCTCCCACCAGAACACATCAAATATGATGAATAGACTCAGATTGAGAATTTTTCCACCTTAATATTTGCATTATGCAAGTGTTCAGGATTCCAAGAAAGTCTTCAAATCAACTATAGCTAAGAAATTACAGCAGTTTGCCAGGCACGGTGGTTCACGCCTGTAATCCTAGCACTTTGGGAGGCTGAGGTGGGTGGATCACCTGAGGTCAGGAGTTCAAGACCAGTCTGGCCAACATGGTGAAACCCCATCTTAAAAAGTAAAAGAATAAAAAAATAAATAAAAGAAAAAATATTATAGCCGTTTAATTAAACTGTATCAAACCATATCTATTTGTTCCATATCACTCCTAGTCACAGGGACGATACCTGTGAATTCAGAAACCGACTCAGGTCCTTGACAACTTAAGAAGCTAGCTACCTCTCTATTTATAAGAAAATGAACCACCACCCCCATTGTTGAGGCCACTTTTAGTTGATATGACATTGTGAAATAATAAGAAAAATATATAATTAGGCTGGGCATGGTGGCCCACACCTGTAATCCTAGCACTTTGGGAGGCTGAGGCGAGCAGATCACAGAGGTCAGGACTTTGAGACCAGCCTGACCAACATGGTGAAACCCCATCACTACTAAAAATACAAAAACTAGCTGGGCATGGTGGCACGTGCCTGTAATGCCAGCTACTCTGGAGGCTGAGGCAAGAGAATCGTTTGAACCCAGGAGGTGGAGGTTGCAGCCAATTTTTTAATTTTTAGTAGAGATGGGATTTCACAGCGTTTTTTCTTTTGGAAGACAATCCACTGGCAGGGTTGGGGACTGGGAAGGTGGTGGCCACAGCCCATCCTAGGGCTTCTTCAAAGGCAAGCTGAGCTACGTTCTCTGTGCTCCAATCCCTGCCTCCGGCCTTGGTAGCCTCCTTGGCTACCTTCCTTCTTGGAAGCATGGAGGTGGAAACACTGAGGTGGCCACGGAGACTCCCACCGAGCCTCAAAGCCTGGAGGGGAGGGATTTTCTATCCATGGCCACCTCCTCACCCTCCAGCACAAAGTTGGGCGACTAGCACGTGCTCATTCAGTGCTGATGAACTTCAGTTGAAAAGCATCAGGTGCAAAGAGAGGGAAGACGTGCGCTCCTGATTTATTTTTAAAAACTCACATTTCACACGGAAAACATAGTTTCTCTGAAATCCCTGGAAACTGCTGCATTGCGGCGGGACCCTGGTGCCTGGAGCTTTAATGCACATCTTGGGAGTCACTTTTCGTTCTAAGGTGGCCCCAGGTCCCTCCTGTAAGATGGGAATAACCACGCCTGAGTCTTTTCCTACGGACACCACACCATAGTAGTTTGTGTTCTGTAAGGGACCACGAACTCCTTGAGGCGAGGGGTGAGCCTGCTCCTCTGGCTCAGTCACAGAGCCCGCACAGGGCCTGGCGTAACGAAGGGAAAATGAACAAATGAAAGAACGAACGAACGAAAGTGGTGGAGCGGACAGCGTAAGACGCGGACAGCCCATGCGCACCGCCCCCGCTGGGTTGTGGACCCTCACTTCCGCCGCCAGGAAGTTTCGGGGTCGCCGCCTTCCCTCCCAGGCTGCTCCGCGCCGGCCGCGCCCCACGCGATTGGCTGCACTGCCTCACGTGACGCCAGGCTGGCGGCGGCGGCGGCGGTTGCCCGGGTGACGGCTGCAGAGGTGGCGGCCCCGCGGGGAGAGCTCAAGTGTCCGCGCCGAAGCAGCAGGTAAGCGCATCCCCGGATGCAGCCGGACCACCCTTAGCCCGCCGTCCTGGTGCTGGGAGGAGCAGCGGTGGGGCTGGGGGACCGAGGCTCTGCTGACCTGTCGTTCTGAGGAAAACCTCCACGCGACCGCTCCGCCACCGCCGGATGCCGCCACGTCTCGCCTGGGATCCAGGGATCTTTTTCCGGCAAGGGCGGAGGCGGACGTCTGTACATCCCAAAGACAGGCCCAGCTGCTTCCCGCAAGTAGTCCCTGATCTTTGCTGTAGTGGGCCAGACTTGGAGTGGGTCTCCCAAGCCGTCCAGCTGGTGGTGACGGCCCGAGCCGGTTCCCCGGGGCTTAGATCCCCCTCCTAATCTCCATCTGCTAGCCCGGTCCGCGAGGTACCCAGGTGAAGTCCAGACTTCACCGAATCTAAGGAAAAACGGGGTGCGTGCTATGCAGATTTCGCTTCCATACAAATCCCATCATCCCACTCGTTTGTAGGCCTTAAATCTTTCTTAAATAGAAGTTCAAAAGCTGCCACTGTAATCCCCAAGTGTGACTGGAAAAGTTTTTCTTAGTTTCTGCATAAAGGAGAGCAGTGGTTCTCAAACTTGAGAGCGTGTAAAAGTCACCCAGGGAGCTTGTTTAAAAGGCACATTTCTGGGCATGGTGCCTGCCATGGTGTTCAGTAAGACCAGGGTGGAGGCAGGGATTTTCATTTGCACAAGGCTCCCAGCTGATTCTGATTTAGGTGGTCCAGACTTTGGGGAAATACTATGTAGTGGTTCATATCAGCCACTTAGTCACTTACTAACTGTGGCTACTGGGAGTGCATTAGACTTCCTGAGCTTCAAATTGCCTCATCTGGAATGGGAAAATATAAACTGTATTCACCTCTCAGGTTTACTTTGCACATTGCTTGGTGTACAATATACCCTCAATAAATGATACCTATTATGTTTAGAGAAAATTCTGTAATTTCCTTTTGCTTTTCCTTTCTTTCTTTCTTTCTTTCTTTCTTTCT